CTGGAGCTGGCGGTGCTGCTGGAGGTACTGGAGCCGGAGCTGCTGCGTCTTCCGGTGGTCCTGCTGGAGCTGGAGCTGCTAAAGGTACTGGAGCTGGAGGTGCTGCTAGAGCCGGTGCTCCTGTGGGTGCTGGAGTTGGCGCTACTGGAGCTGCTGGAGGTGCTGCTGGAGCTGGTGGTGCTGCTGGAGTTGGAGCTGACACTAGGGGTGCTGGTGTTGTCCCCGCTGGTTCTGGAGGCACTGCGCGGCCGCGGCCGTACTTTGTTCTGCTCCTTGAGCAGGTTCTTGGTCTTCCGCCTTCTTATGGTCCTGCTCCTTCCTTGGAGTGTCCACCGCCTGTCCAGTCCGAGTCACAGTTACCGCTGGCCTCCCCACTGCCTGCTCCTTCTCCCTACACTGGTCCTACTGGAGGTCTTGCTGAGCGTCATGAGCCTGAGTCGCGTCCTGCGTCGCCTGTTCGTGTCGCTCGCAGTGGTCGTCGTGTTCCACGTCAGCGTCCTCCTGCGGTCCCGAACACGCACCAGATGGCACTGCGTCCTTCCACTGCTCCACAGCGTGTCCCTTTACCGTCTCCTCTTGAGTCCTCCCTTCCTGCTCTTGCTGACCCGGCGTCTGACTCCCTTCGTGCTGCCAGTCATACTGTCATGCGTCTCCTGGCTACTGTTGTCACTGACCCTTCCTTTGAGTCCACTGCTGCGTCTGCCTTAGTTGCTGAGCTTGTCGACTTCGCTGCTCACTGTCGTCTAGACTACGCCGCTAGTCTTGTTGCTGAGTCTGAGTCTGTCTGTCCTCCGTCCGTCGGGGGTGAGTGTGCTCTTAGCACGGACGTCCTTGAGGACAGGCAGGAGGAGTTCCAGTGCTTTGCTGCTACTTTACCTCATCTCGTGTCCATGCTAGTTGCCCCTGAGGGAGACCCGGATGCACCAGACATCCCGACCCCGCGCTCTTACGCAGAGGCGATAGAGGGTCCCTACTCCTCTCAGTGGCAGTCAGCCATGGACGCAGAGATGGCTTCCTGGAAGTCCACAGGCACCTACGTCGACGAGGTTCCCCCACCTGGGGCGAACATCGTCAGTGGCATGTGGATTTTCAGGGTGAAGCAGCCGCCGGGTTCTCCGCCTGTCTTCAAGGCGCGTTACGTGGCTCGAGGCTTCAGTCAGCGGCAGGGAGTTGACTACTTTCAGACCTTCTCTCCCACCCCGAAGATGACCACTCTTCGGGTGCTGCTGCACATAGCCGCTCAGCGCGACTACGAGCTTCACTCTCTTGACTTCAGCACTGCTTTCCTACAGGGCAGCCTGCACGAGGAGATCTGGCTGCGCCGCCCACCTGGCTTCACTGGGTCGTTTCCTCCTGGTACCCAGTGGAGCCTCCGGCGGCCAGTCTACGGTCTCCGCCAGGCGCCCCGTGAGTGGCACTATACACTGAGGACTACACTTGCGGCACTTGGGTTTGCTCCTTCTACTGCCGACCCGTCGCTGTTTCTACGCACCGACACCTCTTTGCCGCCGTTCTACATCCTCATGTACGCCGACGACTTGGTCTTTGCTACTGCTGACACTGCTGGACTCGCACACTTGAAGTCCGAGCTGCAGAAGAGACACACGTGCACAGACCTGGGTGAACTGCGTAGCTATCTTGGCTTGCAGATCACCCGGGACAGAGCACGGCACACCATTACCCTGACTCAGTCACACATGGTGCAGCAGGTCCTTCAGCGCTTCGACTTCACGTACTCCTCGCCTCAGGCCACTCCTCTGTCTACTCGCCACTCGCTCTCAGCTCTGCCTTCGGATGAGTCCGTAGAGCCGAGTGGCCCGTACCCACAGCTTGTTGGTTGCCTCATGTACCTGATGAACTGCACTCGTCCTGACCTGGCATACCCTCTTAGCATCTTGGCACGCTATGTTGCTCCTGGGAGACACCGACCAGAGCACATGGCTGCAGCGAAGAGGGTGTTGCGCTACTTGTGCAGTACGTCGGGCATGGGGCTCGTGCTTGGAGGGCGGAGTTCAGTGGTCCTCACTGGTCACGCAGACGCGTCTTGGGTTGACGACCTGGCTACGCAGCGGTCGTCACAGGGTTACACCTTCAGCCTTGGTTCCGGCTCTGTTTTGTGGCGGTCTACCCGCTCGTCTTCTGTTCTCAGCTCCAGCTGTGAGGCTAAGATCTACGCAGGGGCCATGGCTGCACAGGAGTTACGCTGGCTCACCTACCTGCTGACTGACCTGGGAGAGACGCCTCGTTCTCCTCCAGTTCTGTACGTAGACAACAAGGCCATGCTGGCCTTGTGTCGGGAGCACAGACTGGAGCACAGAACGAAGCACATTGCTCTTCGCTACTTCCTTGCTCGTGAGCTGCAGCAGCGTGGTCAGCTGCGCCTTGCTTACGTGGCCTCTCAGGCCAACACTGCTGATATCTTCACCAAGGCACTTCAGCCTTGTGATCATCAGCGCTTCTGTACTATGCTAGGTCTTGTGCCTACTTGGCCTCACTTGCTTACCTCTTGACTTTGCTTGTACTGTGATCTATATATACCTGCACCTGCATGTTTACCTTTATATATAATCCTGCATGTGAACTGGCCTTGTGGCCTTTGAGCCTGTGCTCGGAATGTGTGGTGATGTTGTGATCCACCCTGAGCTTGCTTTGCTTTGCTTTGCTTGATTGGTCTTGTGACCCCTTGTTCTCCCCCACTTTGCCTATGGGGGTGTGTCAAACTTATATGCTATAGTCTATCTAGGCTGTAGTGGGGTAGACACTATAGGGTACAACACTTCTAGGTTTCCTACTTGTACCCACTTCTTATTTAGTCAATCTTTTTCCTCTTTCTTCACAAACTGAAAGCGCTGGAAGAACGGAACACCTGGAAAGTTGTTCCCATCGGCGTGGCACGCAAGAAAACGGTACTCACCGGAAAATGGGTTTTCCGTGTGAAAACAAAGGCAGACGGCACCATCGACAAGTTTAAGGCACGCTGGGTCGTGCGCGGTTTCGACCAAGAGCACGGACGCGATCTCACCGAGACGTTCGCCCCAGTCAGCCGACACACCTCGCTTCAAATTCTCCTCGCAATCACCGCCATGAAGAAGAAGAAGCTGCGGCAAATCGACGTCGCTAATGCATTTCTCTACGCACCTGTTGACGCCGAAATCTTCTTCGAACTGCCATACGGATCAAACGGAGAACCCAACCAAGTCTGCCAGCTGCTGAAGTTCCTGTATGGTATCAAACAGGCTTTGAGACTGTGGCAACAGTACCTACACGCTAGACTTATCCGCATCGGATTCCGCCAACTACCGCACGACCAGGGCATGTTCCGGCTCATGAAAGGCGACGACTACATTCTGCTCATCGTCTACGTGGACGATCTGCTCTACATCGGCTTGACTGACGGCGTCACTACCTGGTTCGAAGGGGAGTTGCAGCAGGACCTTACTCTCACAGTGTCATCGACCATCACGCAATACCTCGGCCTCAATATCCAGGAAGAGGAAGGCGCAATCGACCTTAACGCCGCGAAATACGCCGACACCATCGCCAAACGCTTCGGACTCTCCCCGAGCGCCATCTCCACGCCATACCGCTACACCACCGGAAGTCACAAGGAAGGCTCTGCTCCGCTCAAGCCTGTAGGCATACGCGACTACCAGAGAAAGCTGGGATGCCTCCTCTTCGCGGCCGTCACCTGCCAACCAGACCTATCGTACTCGGCGAGTCAGCTCGCCACCTACCTCAAGAAACCTGAAGCGGAACACATGGCGGAGCTTGACTGCGCTCTTCACTACCTCGTCAGCACCTCGACGATCGGCCTAACCTACCACAAAACCGGAACTACAACGCCTAAGCTAATCGGCTACGTCGACGCAGATCACGCCGACGACTCTGACAACACGCGCTCGCGCACCGGTTACATCTACCGACTTGAGCCTATCGGGCCCATCTCTTGGCAGTCGAGCAAGCAGGAACTAATTGCTCTCTCCTCAGCTGAAGCAGAATATATCGCACTCTGCTCAGCCACCAAGGAAGGACTATACCTTCGCAAACTGCTGGAAGAAGCGAAGCTGGCCCAATTACCCAGCTTCTCCCTGTTTTGCGACAACCAGTCTGCAATTCGTATAGCCAACAAAAACGGATTCGCGAACAGAACGAAGCACATCGCCCTGCGATATTACTTCGTGAAGGACGAGATCGAGAAGGGGAGACTCGAGCTGTCCTACTGCCCCACATCCGAGATGGCAGCCGATTACTTGACCAAGAAGCTCGGAAAGCAAAAGTTCGAGTACTGCATGCTGCTGACTGGACAAGGCCACGTCATCAGCAACGACACTCCAGAAGCGAAGGGGAGTGTTGGAAACAAGTGATTTTAAGCGCTTCTGCTGTGTCAAAACATCAAGTCGTAAACGAAGCGAAGCACTAACGAAACATCAGCGAGTCAACCATCGGAGGTTGACAACTGAAGCAACCGCTGGAGGTTACGCGAAGGTCAAAGGTCAGCGACCTTTGACTTGACAAATACAGCGCGACAGCAAGGACAAACAACCGACTCGATACAGAGCAGTTGCCCGAGTCGTCACTGTATCGAGCCGCAACAGCAACAGTAAAACAGTTGTTAGCTTTATCTCTTCATATTCCTTGTACTCTTATAAAACCTTGTATTCTCTTGTTTAATCAATCTACTTTGCCCTCACATACCAGCGCAAGGTGGTTCACAGACTTATCATTAAACGCTTCCGCTATTACATTGTTCCTACATAGAGTTTAGTCCTGCAAAGATCCTAAGGGCTTTTCCTAGGTTTTGTTTCATCCTTGTGTCAATCGAGCGGCATTGTCCACTTGGAGTGTCAGGACAGGACAGGGTTCATTATTCGAGATACCAGGTAACCCCGTTTAGCCCCATACCATATCCCCCCATGGCTGCATTATGGGCAATAGCTATGGCAGTGTGGAGAAGCAACAAGTCACACGAAGCACAAAGCAAGGAAGCGGGAACAAGGAGGTCAGCGCCTTCCCTTGGAGCTCCGCTTGCTGCTCTGGCGCTTCTTCTTGTGCCTCTTGCCGTGCACTCCTCTCGCCCCGCTTGCATCCTCCTGGGCATCCAGGGCCTCGATGGCATTGTGAGCGTGAGCAGCACCATGGCTGCTGCCAGCAGGTGCCAGCAGCTGCCGTGCCTGTGAATTGGCAGACACTGTGCCCACCTCCCACGCCAACCTGCCAGAGGGGAGGGTAAGTTGGCGAGGGTTGCTTTGGGCTGGTATGCACGACACACGGATGCAGTGTGGGAGTGGGAGCAGCGATGTGCATGCGGGTTGGTGCAGAGAGTGAGTGGAGTGGCATGTCTGGGGAAGAACGGTCCGATGGGTTGAGAGGGGACAGGAGAAGAGAGAAGGAACGGGAGGGAAGGGCAGGGGATGGGATGGGATGGGATGGGAGGGGAGGGGAGGGGAGATGGGATGGGATGGGATGGGAGGGGAGGGGAGGGGAGGGGAGGGGAGGGGAGGGGAGGGGAGGGGAGTGGAGGGGAGGTGAGGCAGGGGAGGAAGAAAGGGAGGGGACGGAAGAGGAGAGGAAAAGATTAAAACGGAGGGCGGGGGAGAAAGGGGAGGAGGTGGGAGGAGAAGGGGGGAGGGGGAAGAGGGAGGAGCAGAGGGGAGGGGACGAGGGGGAATTGAGGGTAGGGAAGAGGAGAAAAGGGGAGGGAAGGGAAGGGAGGGGATTAATCATTCTATGGGAGGCATGAATGGGTTATAGCATGGATAAAAGCATGTATGGGTTGTAACATGGGTGAGTGCATGTATGGGTAGTAACATGGGTGAATGCATGTATGGTAGTAACATGAGTGCATGCATGTATGGGTAGTAACACAATCCGCCCATGCTGTTCTAGAATTGAGAGCTTCAATCCTCGAGCACCCGACACCCACCAGTTGAGCACCCGGCACCCACCATTTGAGCACCCGGCACCCACCAGTTGAGCACCCGGCACCCACCAGTTGAGCACCCGGCACCCACCAGTTGAGCAGAGCAATGAGCAGGAGAGTGAGCAGTAGCAGGAACACCATGTGGTACAGCATCTCACTGCTGCCGCCCTCCACCACGCTGCCACTTCCCCTGCTGCTGCTGCCGCTGTCCCCTCCAGGTGGGCGGGAGTAGCGGAGGGCAGCAGGCAGCAGGGCAGCGAAGGAGAGCAGCAGCCCCACGAGGATGGCGTTCATGAGCAGCGTGGGACGCTGGGGGTGAGATGGGAGGGAACAGGTTGTTGTAATAGAGGGTGGGCTCATTGAGAGGGAGGAGTCGGGAAAGAGGGCGGGATGAATGGCAGGAGTGACAAGAAGAGGGTGCCTTGATTTTGAAAAAATGAGGACAACAAGGGAGGAATGAGGGAAACCTATTGGACAGGGAGGAAGAAAGGAGGGAAGAGTGAGCACGATAGGAAGGGTGTGGGGAGAACACCCACAATAGTGGCAGGTAAGAGAACAAAGGGGAATCGCAAGGCAAAGCATAGAAACAATAGCCAACGACATTTGAAATTGACAAAAACCAGGTTTTGAACCTGACGTGAATCGAACACGCAACCTTCTGATCTGGAGTCAGACGCGCTACCATTGCGCCACAGGTCCATGTTACCTCAAAAAAAAAGAAATTATTGGAATGACGTCTCATAAGCATAAATTGACATTTCATGCCACATCAGCACGCTCGTGTCTCACGCTGAGTCCGGGAGTGGTAGCGCCGATTGCCACAGCCGACAGCCACCCCATCCGCCCCTCGCCTGTCCCCTCCTGCTGTCGCTGCTCCTCGCTGCCCCCCATGCAACCGCGCGCGTCTCGCTGCTGCTGCGACCGTTGGCTAGCGCGAGGGGCGTGCCGAGAGGGCGGACTGGCGGCATGAGAGGACGGCGATTCGCCGTGAGGAGAAGGGGTTGTCGGGAGGGGGGACGAGGAAGAAGGAAGGAGAGGGGAGGAAGAAGGACGGAGAGGGGAGGAAGAAGGACGGAGAGGGGAGGAAGAGTGGCAAACAGATGAGCCGAGAAAAGACGGAGAGACTGCAGGAGAGGAGGAAGGGGTGCGACCAGGATACTGGTGCGAGAGAAGCATGATTTCAAAACGTTACGACAATAGATTACCTAAAGTGAGCTCGCAGTTACGAAATGATCGGGATTTATCTCAAAGGCGACGCCAATCGAGCGCGGACGAGCTCAACTGGAGTACGCGTGCGACGATCGCAGAGACGGCTCGCCTAGAGCGACTCGCCGGCGAGGTAGCGGCATGCTGATCTGTGAATGGTCGTCAAGGACAGATCGGCTGCGATGGCGGGTGAGAATAATAACGAGACGAGCTTGAGGTGGGGCAAGGCGGGCACGAGACGAGGGAAATGGGAAGGGCCGAAAGCATAAGGTACAGCACATTGCAGCATGTTACGGGTGCAATGAATCTAAGTAGCTAGAATTGCACTAAGGTGTCAAACGAGTACAAAAATGTGAGCGAAGGCATGAGCGAACATTTATACGCGAAACATGCAAACGGTAACGCGGTGCGTGCGAGCTAGCTAGTGCTATGCTGGAAGCGAGGCTCGGGCTGGTCCCGAAGCGTAGGCCGACACGGCCAGGCCAGCAGTGCGAGGTTTGGTGAAACAGTGCGCGCGAAGTCGGCGAAGCCCCGTCAGCAGTAACGGGCGAACAACGGCTGCTGCTGTACGCGATGTTGCAAGGCGCGCTAAGGAATATCGAGAAAATTCCTTACACTACCCCCCCCCCCCCCCTCAAGAAGCCCCCCTCCGCTACGCGAGTGCGTGTATATCGCGGAAACTCCGGCTCCTGAGGTACACTTGCAGGGCAGGGTGATTTTCGATGTTGGCCAGGGGCACCCAGCTATCTTCAGTTGGCGTGCGATCCTTCCGGCGAACGAGGAACTCAATCCTCCTGATTCCCGTGGGGTGTCCAATTCGATGGCTCAGGATTTTTTCGGGTTCGATGACCGGCTCCGATGCAGGGCGAGTCATGGATGGCGGGTGGTGACGAGGCAATTGGCTTGTGGTTGGGATGTATGGGCGAAGCAGGCTGACGTGGAACGAAGGGCTGACGAACCAGTCCGTCGGCAACAGTAGGTGGGTTGTCACAGGGGTAATCATGTGGCTGATTTGGAATGGTCCACAGTAGCGGGGTCGCAATTTCGGTACGACGCGCAGATTTCAACACTGTGTGTCGAGCAGTACATAGTCTCCTGACTGGTACGTGACTGGGCGGCGGTGGCGGTCAGCGTTGCGCTTAGCGATGACATTGGCTTTTTTAATTGCTTCAGTGGCTCTGGCGCAGGCAGCTTGCAGAATTTCGGCGAATTGATGTGCTCGTGGTGTTGGGTTGTCCGGACTCGGCGTCATGGGCACTGTAGGATTTTGCCCGTAGTTCAGGTAGAAAGGGGACTGCTGCGTCGTCGCTGACGTGGCGTTGTTATACGCGAACTCGACCAGCGGCAGCTGCTGCTCCCAAGTGGTCGGATCGTCGCACGTGCCACGAATCAACTGCTCCATCGTCTGATTCGTCCGCTCCGTTTGACCGTCGGTCTCGGGTTGGTACGACGAGCTGAACTGTAGCCTTGTCCCGAACTGCTCCCAGAGGTTTTTCCAGAAGTTGCTGGTAAACTTCGTGTCGCGGTCATTGATTATCGCGGCTGGTATCCCGTGTAGTCGAACGACGGTTGCGATGAACAGGCTAGCGGTTTCTTCGGCTGAGATCGATTTCTTGCACGCAGCAAAGTGTGCCATCTTCGTCAACCTGTCAACGACGACCATAACTGCGTCGTTACCCCCAGGGGTCGAAGGTAACCCCGTGACGAAATCCATGGTAACCTGCTGCCAGGCGCGCAGAGGCGGTGGAATCGGCTGCAACTGACCCGCCTTTCTTTTTCGCGAGCTCCTCATCACCTGACACGTAGGACACGAGCCCACGTGGTGCTGTATGTTGGTCAACAGCTCCGGCCAGTAGTAATATCGCTGCAGTTGCTGTCGCGTTTTTTCTACCCCGAAATGTCCCGAGGTAATCCCGTCGTGTGCCTCCTGCAGTAACAGTTCCCTCAGTAGTGAGTACGCGGGTACCCAGATGCGGTTGGTGCTGTTAGAATAAGAAGGATGGATTCAACTATCGAGAGAGTTTTACAAGTAGGAAAACCCTAAGGGGTTATACCCCACAGAATCTACCCCACTACAGCCTACCAATAACTGCAACATATAGCATATATATGTTTGACACACCCCCATAGGCAAAGTGGGGGAGAGGAAGAGGTCACAAGACCAGTCAAGAAAGGCAAAGCAAGCTCAGGGTGGATCACAACGTCACCACACACTCTCAGCATAGGCAAAGGGCCACAAGGCCAGTCCACATGCAGAGGTATATATGCAGCAAGAACAGTACAGTGATCTCTACCTAGCAATGCAAACATGCAGGTATAGATCACGATACAAGCAAAGCCTACAGCAAGTGAGGAAAAGTGGGCACAAGCCCCAGCATAGTACAGAAACGCTGATGATCACCAGCCTGAAGTGCCTTGGTGAATATATCAGCAGTGTTGGCCCGAGTGGCCACGTAACGCAGACGAAGCTGACCACGCTGCTGCAACTCTTGAGCTAGGAAGTAACGCAGAGCGTTGTGCTTCGTTCTGTGCTCCAGTCTATGCTCCTCACACAAGGCAATGGTAGCCTTGTTGTCGACGTACAGCACTGGAGGGGAACGAGGCCGCTCTCCCAAGTCGGTCAGCAGGTAGGTGAGCTAGCGTAACTCCTGTGCAGCCATGGCTGTGGCGTAGATCTCAGCCTCACAACTGGAGCTGAGAACTGAAGACGAGCGTGTAGAACGCCAAGATACTGAACCAGAGCCAAGGCTAAAGGTGTAACCCTGTGACGACCGCTGAGTAGCCTGGTCGTCAACCCAAGAGGCGTCTGAGTGCCCAGTGAGGACAACTGGGCTCTTCCCTCCAAGCACTAGCCCCATGCCTGATGTGCTGCACAAGTAGCGCAGTACCCTCTTAGCGGCAGCCATGTGCTCAGGTCGGTGCCGACCAGGAGCCAGGTAGCGAGCCAGCAGACCAAGAGGGTACGCTAGGTCAGGACGAGTGCAAGTCATCAGGTACATGAGGCAGCCAACTAGCTCTGGGTAAGGACCACTCGGCTCTACGGACTCGTCCGAAGGTGGAGCTAAGAGCGAGTGACCTGTAGCCAGAGGAGTGACCTGTAGCCAGAGGAGTGGCCTGTGCCGAGGACCAGGTGAAGCCGAAGCGCTGAAGGACCTGCTGCACCATGTGTGACTGAGTCAGTGTGATGGTGAGGCGTGCTCTGTCCCGGGTGATCTGCAAGCCAAGGTAGCTGCGCAGTTCACCCAGGTCTGTGCACGTGTGTCTCTTCTGCAGCTCCGACTTCACGTGGGCGAGAGCCTCAGTGTCAGCAGTGGCAAAGACCAAGTCGTCGACGTACACGAGGATGTAGAATGGCGGCAGCAAGGTGTCGGTGCGCAGAAACAGCGACGGGTCAGCAGTAGAAGGCGCGAACCCAAGAGCCGCAAGTGTAGTCCTCAGTGTGTCGTGCCACTCACGTGGCGCCTGGCGGAGACCGTAGACCGGCCGCCGGAGGCTCCACTGGGTACCAGGAGGGAACGACACAGTGAAGCCAGGAGGGCGGCGCAGCCAGATCTCCTCGTGCAAGCTGCCCTGCAAGAAAGCTGTGCTGAAGTCAAGAGAGTGAAGCTCGTAGTCACGCTAAGCGGCAACGTGCAGCAGCACCCGAAGAGTGGTCATCTTCGGGGTGGGAGAGAAGGTCTGGAAGAAGTCTACTCCCTCTCGCTGACTGAAGCCTCGAGCAACGTACCGCGCCTTGAAGACAGGCGGAGAACCTGGCGGCCGCTTCACCCTGAAAATCCACATGCCACTGACGATGTTCGCCCCAGGAGGGGGAACCTCGTCGACGTAAGTGCCAGTGGACTTCCGGGATGCCATCTCTGCGTCCATGGCTGACTGCCACTGAGAGGAGTACTCACCCGCGATCGCCTCAGCGTAAGAGCGCGGGGTCGGGATGTCTAAAGCATCCGGGTCTCCCTCAGGGGCGAGCATCATTGCCACAAGATGAGGTACAGCAGCAGCAAAGCACTCAAACTCCTCCTGCATGTCCTCAAGGACGTCCGTGCCAAGAGCACACTCACCCCCGACGGACGGAGGACAGACATACTCAGACTCAGACTCAGCAACAAGACTGGCAGCATAGTCTAGACGACAGTGAGCAGCAAAGTCAACAAGCTCAGCAACTAAGGCAGACGCAGCAGCTGACTCAAAGGAAGGGTCAGTGACAGCAGTGGCCAGGAGATGCGTGACAGTAGGACTGGCAGCACGATGAGTGTCAGACTCCGGGTCAGCAAGGGCAGGAAGGGAGGACTCAGGAGGAGAAGGAAGAGGGACATGCTGTGGAGCAGTGGAAGGACGAAGCGTCATCTGGTGAGTGCCTGGGACAGCAGGAGGACGCTGACGTGGGACAGGACGACCAGTGCGAGCAGCACGAACAGGTGACGCAGAACGAGACTCAGGCGACACAGGACGAGACTCAGGCTCACGACGCTCTGTAAGACCTCCTGTCGGATCAGTGTAGGGAGAAGGACCAGGGAGTGGCAAGGCAGGCGGTAACTGTGACTGGGACTGGACAGGCGGAGGACACTCTAAGGAGGGAACAGTTCAAGGAGGAGGCGGCTGACCAAGAGCCTGCTGAAGGAGGGGAACGAAGTACGGCCGCGGCCGAGTAGCGCCCCCAGAACCAGCAGAGACAGCACCAGAACCTC